GCATTTGGTGTTGCCTCTTTGCACGTTTAATTTAATGAGGAGTAATAACAAAATATCCAGGCTGAGTCACACAGGCAGCAATCTCCCTTCACCCCAGATTTTAGAGGCAAAAGGAGATGGAGGTACAGCCCCACTACATGCTGCCCCCAGGGAAGGGGATGCCTGCTAGCCAGGAACTTCTACTCCCAACACAGCAACAAGGATGAAGAGTGATGTCCCTGTTGAGGCAGGATGGGGATAATGAAGACTCCAAGTCAGAAGGCAAGAAGAGAACTGATTTGTTTCAAATACACCGCTCTTTTTACAGAGCACATCATGCAGACCAATTTCATTGGTCTTAAAGTAAAAACATCTCACACTATGGGTGCATTGTGAATGGCACATGGTAGCAGAACATATCTATAAACAATGTGAACAACAAGGGAGATAATGAATTATTTACATTCCTTTCGAAATCTTTCCCAGGCTCAGTCTGGTAGAAATCTCTCCTTTTCTCTCTGACTGAACAGAGAATATCCAGAGTGATGCCAGTGCAGGAGCTCACTGCTCCATCCCCAGCACCAACTGTAGGGAAGTCCCTGGTGACAGCAGGGTTTCATCCACTGGCTCTGAACACTTCCCGAATTTCATTAAAGTGGGTAATTTAGCCTGACTACCCTGGCTAGTTCCCACGGCTGGGACCACAATAGCAGCCATGCCCAGGAGGAAATTGCATTACTGTACATGGAGGTCTCAAATCTGAAAGGGAAGTAGCAGCTTACACCAACTAGGCCTTTAATACCAGATTAAATGCTTTCACAGCAGCCTAGCTATTTGAAAGCTTCCAGACAGCCTTTTGTCAATTTAGTTTGCATTGTAGTTTGACTTTCAAGAGGTACTTTAAAATGCAACCAACTTTATTTTATTATTTTTTTAATATGGAAGCTTAGCTTTCTTGAAGGGAATTCATGGACCTGGGATGGGCACTGCTCCATATGGGAAGGCATGAAATGCTTTAATGGCAGAGGGGCCAAGCAAAGCTCCTTTCTCCAAGGCTGTTTAGGGACTCTATTAAGTATTCTGTCCTTAAAGACTCACCATTTTAGAAGGCTGAATGAAGCTCCAACTGAAATTATAAATTTTTAATTTCCCCATTAGCAGAAACAGAAGAAGTACAGTATTTTCTCCTGATATAGGGAACAGCCTACATTTGTACAAGGACTTTACTTTGAGAGGCTGATTACCCCAAGCCTTGAATAAGGAGCTAAGCCATGCCTCAGGGACATGTCCCACTGGGTAATTAAATGCAGGAGTTTAGGGGAGCTCTTGGCTGACTCTGGGCAGATTGGAGCATGAGGGCAGCTGGACCAGGGTGCAGCACGTGAGTAGCAGGATGGCCCTACCCTACTCAGGGCTGTGGAAGCACTCCAGAAACAGCAATGATGAGTTTTGGGCTGGCTTCTACTCTGAAATTTGGCACTTGGGAGATGCAGGGCACACACTCATAGGAAACTGCTATTCCTATTGTCCCACTGCTCCCTGACATGGGAACACAGGAACCTCTGTCTCTCCCCTGGCCCACCACAGGCAGCAGGAGGAAGGGGGAGGTGGGGGGGAGGAGGGCACAGCCTCGAAGGGCTCAGTGCCACCACGTTCTGCCCACAAATGCATCCTTGTCATTCAAATGAGAAGCGGCCCCAAAGGCGAGGGCCCTACCCTAAACAAAGAGCCACTTGGGATAACGCGGGTCCTGGTCTCCACCGATGAATGCAAATGCCTCCAAACCCTGGAAGCAACTTCACCAGGAACAACACAGACAGGGCTTTGTGAGCAAGAGGCTGTGCATACGCAAGCCCCCAAGAATGCCCAGCAATCCCCAGCTGGAGAAACGCCTTGGGGGCATACATAGACCTTCCCTCTCATCCCTGGGCACAAAGGCAAGAAAAAGCCACTCAGTTGTCTTTTTTTTGCCCATGTTCTTGTAACCAAACTAAAACTTTCCTGGCACGCCTGCATGCCTCAGCCACTGATGCCAGAGCCCATGTCCACACAGGATGATCTCAGTGATGCTACCCACATCACCCCATTCCTGTCTGGCAACCTCTGTGCCAGTCAAAGCAACTCCCTAAGGCAAAACATCTCCCTGGGGCCAAGCTAGCCCAGCCTCAGGCATCAGTCCATCACCAAGCCACAGGTTTTGCTCTGCATAGCCATGTCCTCAGAACAGCAGCAATGCAGCCCAGTGGGCAGGAGCTGCCTGCAGGAACAGCCAGCTCCCTTACAAACCAGCCGATCTCCAGGTCAGCACCTTCAGTGTTCAGGCTCCACATGCCAGCTATTCTGAAAAGCACTGTCCCCAGACCTGGTACAAAGCCCAGTGAAATGACAACTCTCATTACCAAGTTACTACTAGCGTATAGAAGTTTTTGCTGCCTGCACCCCTGAGATGTCTGAGCTCAACAGCCATAACAAGACGCAATTTGCGAATGCTGTGTGGTGAGGAGGGGTTGGAGGTTTACTGTAAAGGCAGTAGTGCAAAATGCAAAGTCATAAATCTCAAAAGTGGCATCCTAAAATTCAGTGGAATCACTCAAGTCAAGCTCTGTTGCATCAGCTATTTTATGTTCCCTTTGTCAGGGCAGCTAATGGAGAACAATAAAAACATTGATAATCAAGCTAGATTCATAAACTGGGCAGGATATTCCACTAGTAATGAAATCTGGAGAATCATTCCATGTTACATTGCTTTGGGTAGCATGCTAACAAGAACTGCCTTTGAATTATAGCCCTCTTTCATTTTGCTGAACTTTAATTTGGCCCACCACCACTGTTTCATTTAAAACAAACTCCAAGCAGGAGTGGAGCAGAGGACAGAACTCAGAGGCATAGTCCAGCTCAGCACTGAAAACCTCTAGGTTACAAGGGGTGAGCATCTGGGATATAAAAGTTCTGCTGACACTGTGCTCTGTTTACTGCAGGGTAAACAGTGCTGGATATAATTTTCCAAGGTTAGCAGAGCCTTCTATTGGCATGGTGTCATGTTTCCTAGATTTCAAATATTTGATTGAAATGCCTCACAGATCTTTAATTTCATAGTTGCTTCATAAAGTGGATGCCAAATCATTCTTGAGGCTCTCATTTCCCTGAGAGTGGTAGTATTCTAACAAAACCTCTTTAAATATCTGGCTTCTGTGCTCCCTGCTGCTCAGTAGAGGGCATAAGCATAAACCTGATTGACATTCAGCCCCTTTGGAAACCCACCAATGCTGTCTCAAGCTGGAGATTCTTTGCCCCAGCAAGAACATCAACAGAAGGGAGACAGCACTCTGGCATCAATCATACATCCTAAATGTCGGATTCCCAGCCTAAATAAGTCTTGGTTTAATGTGTAACCTCCTTCTCTCACAGTTCACTTCTGCTCTATTACCACCATCCCCAGCACCTTCTCCTTTGCCAGGCAGTCCCAGCTCTTCCAGCAGTGTTTGGAGAGAGTGCTCAAATCTACTCCAGGACTAAAAAAGTACCTTAATGCCTGAAAGTTATCATCAGTAACTAATAAGCCCTTGAGTATTAAAATTTACCCTGTAAAAGCTGAGTGCAGCTTATTTGGTAGCGAGGGTAAAAGCAGGTCAAAGACAAAGTTTGAGTTAAATTGACTGGGGCAGAATACATCAATCTGTGTGCTCTTTGCATGAAATATTAATTCCAGTTTTAACATCTGGTAACAGAGGAAAGTGAATGCACCATAGTGATGCAGGTATACTTTATATTCACCACATTTTCTATTCTTCTAGGAACAGATGGGGAACGATAGGCTTTGTCTTCCCTGGCAGGTGTCTGAGCCAGAGCCTGTGAACCGAAGCACACACTTGAAGCCGGAGCCCAGGCAGCGGAGGCAGCGTCCTGGTACACTGCTCTAAGCGAGACCTGCTCATTAGATAACCTTACCGTGCAGCAAACCCTTCCTCCCTCCCGCCTTCACAGAGGTGTACTGGCAGCATTTCGAAATGCACTAAATTTCAGGGAATTTCTCCAAACAGTTCCAGCCCCAAGACTGCCCACCCACACCCAGCCACAGCTGGCTTTCTGACACCCAGGTTTGATATAGTCACGGGGTGTCTCTGAGGTACAACTGGTATAAGCTACAAGAAACTTCTCCTTCAGGAGAAAATCTTTAATTTCTTTGTTCTCAAAGGGGTGAAGCTGTATAGACCTGCTGGCACCGTAACCTGGCAGAGACGTGACCTAAGCTCTCCATGCCTGCTGAAACCTGTTATGTACCTGCAGACTAAGCAGGCACCTGTGAGAGGAGAAGCAGGACCACAAGGATGACCACGCTGTACAGACCTCCGCAATTAAGCCAATCCTCCACCTGCTGCCGGCACAGAGCAGCCCTTCACACATCCCCGAGGCGTGTCTCAGTCCTAGGAGATCGCTCTGACTCTAAGCGTGCCGTTTTACCCTGCTTGCTGCTGAAGTTTGTATGGCTCCTCGGCAGGCACAGCGCCCTCGAGACAGGCCAGCCCTTTCCCAGCGGCTGAGAAATCACCATCCATGTGTGAAAGCTGGTGAGGCCATCGCCCCACGACGCTCGCCTGGGGGAAGGTTTGGTCACCAGGCTGGGGTGCAGGAGAGGCACCATGCACTGGGTGCTAGGGAGGGGGACTCTGGCTTCCAGAGGGCTCGGCGCAGAGGGTATGGGGTGGGTGCACTGGGTGCGGGGGGGAAGAACAGACTCTTCCGTCTGCGCGGGGGAGCGCCAGCTGCAACGAGCGGCACCACGTAGATAATGCTGGAGGGGACACCGGGTGTAAAAGGGCCCGATCACCGGGAGCAGGACGGAGGGCACTGGCGGCAAAGGGGGTAGTGGGAGCAAAGGGCGCGCCAGGGAGCGCTTCCCGCCGCCGAAGCTCGCCAAGTGCCGCGTGGGCCCGCGATGCCCGAAGGCGGGGGAGTACGCGGCGAGACGGGTGATGCGGGAAGGGGGAGCGGAGAGGAGCGGGAGGCTGCGGGTAACTCACAACTCCCAGGGTGATGTCGTCCGCCGCGGGGGTCGGCGCCGCGGGCACTTCTTGCCACGCCAGCCACAGAGCGAGCACGAGGAGCATCTCCCGGAGGCAGGCGCGGTGCCGGGCGGCGGGGCTCAGCATCCCCCCGCTCTTCGCGGCGCCCAGCCTCGGCCCCGCGATGGGCTCCGCCGGGCTCCGCGCCGCATCCGCGCTCCCGCCCCGGGCTGCGGCCGCCGCCGGCGAGGGAAGGAGGCAGGGAAGGAGGAAGAGAAGCGGGGAGCTCCACTCCGTTCCGCGCTGCTCCGCCGAGGATGGAGGAGGGGGGCTCCGCTCCTCCCCACCGGGAAGAGAGGCTGGGGGGGCTCTGCTCCGCGCTGCCGGGGAGGCTCTGCCGCCGGGTGCGCCTACATCGCCCCGCTTCCGCAGCCTTCGGAGCGGCAAAGTTGCTGCGGGCGCTGGCACGGAGCAGAGCGCAGCTCGGTAGCTGCAGCTGCTGCCGCCGGGAGCCGCCGCGGCTCCGGCGCCGCTGCCGTGCACCCCTCCGCGGCCGGTCGGCGGAGGAGGCGGAGGAGGGAGGGATGGTAACGAGGGGGGCGGTGTCAGAGCTGCGCCGGGTTGGGGTGTGCTCGCAAGCGCGGTGCGGCCGCGGCGCAGCGCCGAGCCCTGGTAGCGGTCCCCGCCCGCTCCCTCTGCGCCGGACGGGCAGGAGCGGGCTCAGTCCCCTCCCGTTTTAGTATCTGTGTCTAGCTGAAATCCATCAGGGTTCCGACACGGTTTTTTTCTAAACATCAACGCTTTTGTAAGTACCAGCTTCATCTTCGAGTTTTTAAGGGGCTATGGGAAAGGCCGCGTGGTTGTAGCATCCCCCACTGACATCCTGTCTCAGCGAGACAAATGTCTGACTTGTCCCCATAAATAGCATCATGGGATCCTATGGCCTCTACAGCGTGTCCTCCCCTCGAGAGCTGTGAATCTGCTAGATGCTCCGACAGGCCAGATGGCAGGGGACACCCTGACAGCTCCAGCTCCTGCTAGTTCAGGATGAACATGTACTTCCTACTCAGCATCTGCCTTCCGCAGTTCCTACTGGCATGTTAATGCATTCAACAGCTTTGCAAATGATTTTTAAATTTGGGGGTTTTTAAAATAAAATTGGAGTTTCTGTTTTAAGATAAATTACAAGTGAAGATAATGAAGAATGGACAGAGATGAAAATTGCTTCTAGGTGCTGCTCAGACAAAATTGTGATGGTCATTGATATGACATCTTCTGCACAAATTGATTAATCCAGCCACGAAGCATAGCTGCTCCTGGAGACATTTAATATCAGACAGGACTGGAGAAAAACAGTGGGTAAGGGAAGAAGAAATCTTTGTCCAAAAGAAATTGGTTGAAGAGAATTGGCAGGGAAACCTGTGGGTGTGCTTGCACTACCCTGTGTCCCCATGAGAGGGACTGAAGTTACTGCTCCAGCACCAGAGAAATCAGAGGGGAAACATCTGAATTAAAGGGCTCAGAGCCTCACCAACAGCTGCCTGAGCTCAAGAGCTGTTGTCTCGAGAACTTTGCTCCGTACTAAAACAAAGTTCAGCTTCTTAGACCAGCAAAGCCCAGCCTCTGGTTCCACAGGTGCAGAGAGAGGGTTTCTAAACGGCAGGGTTGATAGCTCCCACTCACCATGTCACCAAAACTGTGGGAAAAACAGAAACTCTCCAATAGCGACTTTAGTGCTAGAGAATTAAGGCATTACTTTAGTCTGGCCAGGATGTGCAACAGAAATAATTTCATCTATATATTGCCCTGGTTGTGAAGAGAAACAAATGTCAGAATGAGAGGACACAGTCTCAAGCTGTGACAGGGGAAATATAGGTTGGATATTAGGAAGAAATTTTTCACAGAAAGAGTGATAAAATATTGACTTGGGGAGGTGGGGGAGTCACCATCCCTGGATGTGTTCAAAAAAGACTGGATATGGCAGCCCAGGAGCACTGCCTTCCCAGAGCTCAGCATGTTCTAAGAAGTTTCAAGCTTGTGTCAAATACCAGGCTAAAGGTCTGAGGATCGTCTTCTGACAGCTCATCCTCCTGCAGGCTGGAGAGCTGTATGAACACAAGGAAAGGTGCCTGATCCCCATTATAATGCTAATCTCCTCCAACTCCCAGCAGAAGCCAAGCAGCATCCTGTTAATGAAATTATAACCATGGCTCACACGGTGCATTTCTGCTGAACACATCTGAAATCTTTTTCCCTCAGAGGCTACATAACCAACGCCTGGGAGTTATCTTGCTGCTGTTATAGTAGCAACACGATTAGAGTGCTGAAGCTAATTTAAATCCTGTTGAATGCTATTGTAATGCAGTGAGTAAAGCTGGTATGTGACATGTCATTTAGATATCCTTAGAGTGGGCACATCAGGCTGATCCCCAAAAGTTTAAGGTCTACATTTAGAGACTTCAACATAAATTACAAATCCTACATGAGCAGGTTCTGTTTGATGAGACTTTCAGGTGCTTAAGGTACAAGTCTCATTTAATTGTGTGATGACTCCAGGACTTCTACTGCCACACCCCAAAGCTCCTGAGAACAGATCCCAGGGATGCAGTGGAGCAGAGGGCTCCTGATTTTACCACCCCCCAGACAGTCACAGAACAATTTATCCCAGTTCAAGTCAGTCCCACATCTGGCTCTTGACCATGCCAGACATGGATCTCACACCCCACTCCATTCTCTCCCCTCACCTGATGCTGTCAGGATGTTCCCACAAGGCCAGCAGGCAGCATTGCACTGGTTTCAGTCCTTTGTGGGAGCTTTCTCTGCATGTCACTGCCCCTGGTCCAGCCACATCATGATTTTCTTCTCCCTAATTTAGCATCCTATTCCAGAAAAATATGGGGAGGGGAAGAGGAAAGAGAAATGTCTACAAGAAGCAGCAAGGGAAGGATCCCAAACTCTGTGAGGAGATCATCTGCCACCTATCTTTGTGGCAGTTTTAGAAGAAGATATGGCAGATTTAGAAGAAGCAGCTATATCTTTACCAGTGTAAAGCAGCTCAGCTCTTTCCCCCACCACAGGTGTCCTGTAGCCTTTGCATTACCAGACTTGTCTTGGCTGCCACACAGCAGGGTCAGCTCTGGAAGTCTCTGTGTACCTCTGAGCCAGATGTTCCCTTCCTCGGGCCATTGCCTGCAGAACACAAGACTCCTTCAAACTGAGGTACCAGCCCAGGGTTGCGTAACAGAGCTGAAACCGAGTTCTCCTGATCTTTAGAGCCTCTCCATTGCTCTTCATCTCGGCCATCAACATCACCCTGCTCTCTGAGGCTTCCTGGGGCCAAATGTACCTGCTGCGACTAGAAACAGATAGTGAAGTATTTCAGGAGGGAGGCAACATTCCCCAAATGAACTCCTCCTTTCAGTTTCATGTGCTAGCAGCACACGCTGTCACAGCTTTATTTTTAAATGCCCTTAACCTTTATCACCAGAAAAATTTCTTCCTATTGACCTGAAGAGCACTAGCAAAGTCAAGTGGAATATATATATTCTTTCCTACCCACTGAACATAGTCATTGTTAATCTGAGCATGTTAAAACCAGAAGGGACAAGACGTGGAAGGTGTTTAGCAGTAACTTGATGGGAGCAAAGGGAAACGGGTGAAGACCAACCTCGCTGAAGGTAGAATTAGATGTTTAAAATGGAAGTGAAGTGAGTACGTGTCTTAGACATGTGCTACTTGCCTCCATATCCCAGAACTGTTCTTAACTAAGAACACATGGACAGCCACTGGTCTGGTGGAGTTAACAGCAGCCTGAGAAACATGTTCACATGGGTAAAACTGGAGATTCAGAGTAGAAACCCAGCAAAAGCAGTTTGCACAGTACTGTCAGGTCACTGGGAAAACTCTTTGTAGCCACTTTCAGTGAGGGCAACAGTCACTCAGGGACTCTTAGCATCTTTTTACGTTAGACTTAAGGATAAATTCAAGGCCAGAGGAAGGCAATGCAGTTTTAATAAGCAATGACTTATTTTGGCCAGGTTAGCATCAATAAACAGCCATTAGCTATGCAAAGGAGGATTTACATAAGCAGCATTTGAGGGTCAGGTTATGGCAAGACTGTCTCAAATGAAGGGTGGACCAGCCCTACATGTAGAAGTTCTCAGCCTGGTACTGATGCCAAGGTGCTTGAAACAAATTCACCTGAAGCCCATACTCTGAAATGTGCTGGAAATGATCCTACAATGTCCTACATCCTGGAAACAAGGATCTCCCTTTTCCAAGAAGACGGGGAAGAAAAATCCAGAGGAAGTGTTGGAGCATTCAGCAAACAGAGGCAGGAGTGTTTGAGTAGCTGAGAGAGGACAAGCACACTGTTTTTTCCATCCCGAGCATTTTATAGGGGTGAAAGGTATCTGTATAATTCACCCAAGGCTGGACAACACTTACTTCAGCCTGTGGTAACTGCCAGGGGGGGAGAAGGAGTAGGAACTTACAGAGTAGAAGGCATTGAACCCTTCTGCAGGACCCAGAAGGCAGGCAAGTCCTCCCCAGAATCAGTCACCACCAGTCTCCTCCTATTGGTGTTCATGTGGAAAAATTCAAAAGCAGGGGCTAATGAATTTCAGGTGCCTTGGAATGATTTCTAACACAGAAAATCCCAATTTTAACAGTGAACTTCATCTACAGGGAAGAAAAAAAAAACAAGTAAGTGCCAAATCACACCAATCCATCAGTCATAATTGTCTTTGTTGGTACAAATGTGTCTCTCTCATTCATACAATGCTAGAGGTTTAGAGCAGAGCAGAAAGTCTTTTGGTTGTTTTGTTGTTCTTTTTTCAATAATATTTTAACTATGCCACAAAATGTGAGTCTAATTAATCCCTGAAATTGGTGACATTACACTTGAAATGAGCCTGCCTGCTAAGCCTTAGGAGGTGGGAAAGCAAAGAATATAAATATCCATATGCTTCTATTTGATTCCAATTCAGCCAAACACAGTTGCTTATTAGAGATAAGTCTTCATTTAAAAGTTAATTATAACAGTACTGAAAAAGGTAGGGGCTGAAGATGGTAAAGGTGAACTTTAATGAAGGTTTAATGACTAGAATGACTGTGAAATTCTCTGTCTGCAGGGCCTCTGCAGCAGCAGGGACATTTCTGCATCTCCGGGTACCACAGCCGAGAAATTGGGAAGAGAGTTGGAACATGACAAGGAACATCGAAGTTTGGAAGTCCCCAGCAGGCAGGTCTTTGTACAAAACCACTCACAGTGCAGAATGGAACCAGCTGTGCTTCACATATGGGATGATTGTCGCTCTATTGCTAATGGGTTTTTCATCACAGAGAGCCAAAGCAGCCTCATTTATGACAGCCATGAGCCAAGGTCCATTTGGCCTGTAAATGGCAGTTGAGTGTGTCACTGCCTACACCTCATCTTTAAAAATGTGTGTTACTGGCCTACAACAAATTTCCATAAATTAAAAAAAAATGTAAAATTAATATTTTAATGAAAATATTCAGTATTTCATTAGTAAGAAAAAAGTTTTATTTTTCTTAAGCCCATCACTGGAGCAGTCCCTGAGGTTTTGTAATTCCTACCCCATCAGCTCTGTTTTGCCAGCAAGTCTCAGCCTTATCTCCTGCCCATAAGCAGACAGACTCAGG